TTTCGAAGCAAAAATGAGCAAAGTTTAGACGAAGCGTACAAACGGTCAAAATTTTATACAATCGGTTAACCAAAGTTTAACCCAAAAGTTAACCAAACCATGGATTTAACCCAGTGGTTAAAGTTAACCAACGTTAATACAATTTGGTGCATATGTACTTTGTACATTGAATTGGTAATCGCAGGTTTTTATCAACGCGATTTGTGGTATCACCATAGTATCAAACCCATCACCTTTTGCTCCATACATAATATATATACATGAATACTTTAATCATCGGACGATACAGATATTTAGGTTATCAATAATGTTTGCCCTACTTTTACCTCAAGTGACGATACCTTAATTATAAAAGCTACTATCCCACACATTGTAGTGTGGGAGTTTTTGAATTAAATGTCATCAAAAGATAAACAATTTTACCACAGGCTTGTACATTTATATTGAACTAGATGATTTATACAAGTCTTGTCCGATGAAAAAAAAAACATATTCAATAAAGTTTTTTCAATGTTTATCATGCTTTCGTTATTTAACCGTTGCAACGTTTTATTTTGTAAATATTGACTTGAATTATTTACACACCCCTTAACTGATGGCAAGTAGATCCAGTTGTTGCGAGTAAAATAGTTATGTGGTTGGTAAGGTATTCTTTCCTGCAATCGATTGCTGCACAATATATCATAGGATATTTTGTCTATAAAAAAGACAAAAAATAGACAAACATAAATTGGTTATACAGTTTGAAACATACATTTACTACCTGCATGAAGCTGTCCTACTTGCTATATGTTCACGGGTGTGATAAAAGGTCACAGTTATAACTCGTGGAAACGGATGCCGTCATTTTTCGGTTTGACTTCCTGTAAAATTTACAGGGAAGAACTGAATATATGTAAAAATTTCATTTACACTCTGAAATTTCGGAATCTGATTGGTCTTTGAAAAATTAGTAAAAACAGTCATAAAGGATTTTTGTTAACACGGTATACACGTCTAATATTTAATTCATCTGAAAGAGTTCTGGAAACGAACTATTTACATATTAAGTACTTTCACTATCAAGTTCAATTTCTGACACTTAAGTTCTGTTAAACCAAGCCTTCTCCTATACATTATAAGTTTTTTATTACCATGCATCCTACTACAGATTATTTAACGTTGGTTAAATGAGTTATAAATTTTGTCAAACACTAACCAATTACGTCCACAATCCCATAGCACACAAGAAAACGTACATATCCGATATTATCAGTTATGTGAAGTGGATACAAATATTATAATTTTCATGTATTTTACATACATTGTATTAATTAAGTATTCACTTAATTGCAGATATGGTTTCTTTATCATAAATGTTTGTCAAAGTTTTTTTTTAGATTATAAAGCTTTCATTCGTTTTTTTTTTATAATTTTAAGGTTTTTTTCGTTATTTCCAAAGGTGTTGTTAGAGCTAAAACGGGATTCACAATAATAGAAATAAGAGAATAACATGATGGTAAAAATGAACTGAGACGAAAAAATTGAGTACGAAATTAATTATTTTGTTTGTAGTTCTGATTTACTACTTTACTTAAAGGATTTACTTGAACTTTTATTTTAAAAAAATCTGATGTGTCATCATTTGATTTTAATATTTAAATATTTAAACGTAAAATTCAATTATAGCTCCAATATCATTATCCTTATGATTCTATTTCCATGTTTCCTAAGATGCCACGATATGCAATAGTTAAACCAGTTTTACTCCTGCCGAGTATCTTTTTTAAAGATACTTATTGTTGTATTTTTCTTCTATGCATATTTAATAACTGTAAACATATGTGTTGATGTTTTGAGACCCGTTTTGTGTGGGAGAGTAGCTTAAAAGTCTATTTTGCAGCTATCATCAAAGCATATGTTTAGAAAAAACAATGAACAGCTTCAGTCGCTCCTCCGCCGCTCATTTTGAGATGTTTAAATCGTATTATTTTTCTATTACCGTCTACAAGAAAAGCATTGATGCAAAGCATCAAAGGGCGTCCAAACAGCAGGTGCAGATGAACTAGTAGATATATGATGACAAGATATTCTTATAAACTTTTCAATGGTTCATTGGGTTTTACCAGAATTGTATATCACTTTTGAATGAACGGACGAAAGACATTGTTCATTATTTTTAACTTTGATCGGCATGCTAGAAATTAGAATATTTCTTGTTATTTCTTTATGATCGTGGTTATTAATAGCAACGGATATACATGTATACAATCATTTATAATCCATATGTGTAACGCATGATCAACACCATACTTGTGTAATTGTCCCTTATTATGTTATTGCTATTAACGAGGACCCCCTCTTAAGGTATCTGTTCACACTAAGTAACAATATGACACTTGTTATATTACCATGTTGATCATGTTGAGCATAATTGTTTATTATACAATAAATGTAATTTCTATTTTAATAAAAAAAAATACAGATTTTATGAATATTGTTTTCTTTTCTTTTTTGTGTGTGTTTTATGCGCTATTTTAATACTGAGTTTTTACGTTTACTACTATTTTAAGAATTCAATTGTCATAATGATCGACGATTATAAGTCAAAACTTAACTGGAAAAAGTCAGTAAATCATGGTTAATCTTTCAATTTATAATATTGTTTTTTCTTAAACCATATACATGTACATTTGTATTTTTCTTTATCATTTTTTAAATTATCAATCAATTCAATAATTCATAAAATCTGATTTGTAACTTTGAATAATTCCTCGGAATCTTTACTAAACACGAATAACAAATTATATAAAATGTTTTAAAGTTGATAGTGTCATATTAATGCCATAAAAATGTACATTTTTTCTCAATTATTGTACATATTTATTGTTTTTATCTCATATAGATAAAATATAACATGCGATTTGTGTTGTTGGTTTTTTTTTTCGAATTGTATGTTTATGTATAATAATAATCAATCAATTCGAGAGTTGATCTGTGTTTATTAATTATTGTAACCAAACTAAGTGACAAACATTCATTTTGAAAAAAAGCTTATTTATCTGTAAAATATTTGTTCTGTTCTGTAACGATATCTACTCCAAAACCGGGAGAGACCGGACAATAAACGTGTGGTACTATTCGCCGGTCATTAGTAAATCCCGGGAGAGACCGGGAATTACATAGGAGTACATCCCTCTATAAATAGATTTTCGGAATATTAAGGTCATCAACTCATCATTTTATTAACAGCTTTCGGAATAACATACCATAATAACCCACTGTGTACTACAAAATGATAAGCAAAAATACCCCGAAGAGCGCGATTTATTGACGGAAAAGGTTATTTCATTTGAAAATGTTTGCATTGCGAAATTCTCCAGTTCGCCATTCATTGTACATATCGCGACTAATTAACAATCAAGCACCCTCATACCGATCGGAATGATCGGCTTTTTATATTGGCAACTATAAAAGGCCCGAGAAGTTGCTGTCGCCCTTTCACAAAATCTCATTTCATTCCAATAGGCGCCGCGCTTCGGCGCGGACGCCAATAGGCGCCGCGCTTCGGCGCGGACGCCAATAGGCGCCGCGCTTCGGCGCGGACGCCAATAACCAAAGGTTAGTATTGCGAGTTTTTTTCTTATAAAAGTTCATAGGTATGTAGTTGCTAATTGAGTTGCTGTATTTTTGTTGCGTTGTTTTCTTTGTTTTGTTTTGTTTTTTAATGAACTTTCTATACAGCTCATCACTTTGTCCTGGACGTATTGCTGCATTCATATGAATCAGTACACCAAATTTGACTATATATAAACATTCTTACTTATTTACAGTAATGCAATTTTATCAGTGCTTCTTTCGAGATCATTGATTCAAGTCCTTTCTATTGTGTGAAATGAATACATCCATGAACATAAAAATAATGGTTATATATTTTGTAAGACCTAGAAACAAATAGGTTTACTTATCAGTATGTATGTCACAGTATCATTGCTCACTCGTAAATATATGAACAGAAAATGGACAGATGAATCAAAACAATACTCTTACCTTTTCCTAATTAAGATATATAATACATGTATATGTCCAATACAACTTTAAACTTGTTTTATATTTCGATTACCAATACATATTTTCTCTAATATTTCTCAAATAATACGACACGCGATGGAGCAACCTATTGCCGAGTGGTTAAGAGGGTGACTTTAAGCCAATAGCCCGTTACCGCTGTAAGTTCGAATCCTGGTACGGACTTTTTACTCTGACGTCATTTTTGCCCTGACGGACATCTGCAGTAAAGCTGTTGTCGCCATATAACTGATACAGTGTTGATGCGACGTAAAACCAAACTACAAACTACAAAGTTCATGGGCTGCATTTAAATTGTTTACAAATGTATAATTATTGCATTTAACATTACAAAGTCAGCTCCGTTAACTTATGATGAAATCTACCGCAACTAAGTTAATAAGCTTTGATTTATATAATATTGTATTTAAAAACACAATAATAAGGGGTGATCTAGTCTAAGGATATTTGCGGTATTTGCAGGAGCAACATCAGTACTGTATGTAAATAACCTCCACAGCGTTTGCAAATATTTTACTGAGACTCCTGCATTCAAGTTTTGTCTTCGAGTCCGAATTGCGTTGGACACAGGGGTCTTTTAATCTGATAAATATATGATTTAATTGTGTGAAATTTACGCGCACATTAGAGCACGTGATAACAGGAAGATGTATAATGACAACGTCATGGTAATGTATGAGAAACCAACCCAAAATTGCAAAATAATAACAACCAAAAACACACCAAAAATATAAAAGACGGAAGAAGCACAATATAATTATGTATGTATACATCTTGCATGTATATATTTGCCTCTCTCTCTTCTCTATCTTTACAATTCCTCTTTTAATATACCTGATATTAGAAACAGACAATGTGGCTCATTTATTGACAACATCATCTGTTTTGTTAGATCAAATTAAAGCACGCAGAAGAAATAAATAAAGACATAATTCAATCACAAGGGCAGAAGTTTTAATAAGAGATACAATAAAGTAGCAGAATTTCTTAACAAAATTTGGGAAAAATGGTGATCCCTCGCAAGAAATGTAAACACCAACTTTAAATTAGAACTGCATACTCGGTTTGAGTCTGGATAATGGAAAAGTGAAACATCTCAATGAATGAATAAATCAAACTATTTATCATATAGTTTATACATTTTTCTATCTGTCCATCTATTGATTGTTAAAACAACTAATCTGCTAACATATTGGGAAAGTCCCTTTTTATTATTTACATTTCTAAAGTCAATGTGATATGACAAAAAGGCTGAAGGTAATGTAGTCGACTTTATTTCTTGCATATTAGACTGGATTATCTACTGCTTACACAGGTGCTTGAAAAACTTCCTTCCTCCCCCCCCCCCTCCCCCCAAGTAAGATAAGTCGCGTGCTTCCAATGACGTTAGAACCATTTTTGAATGAAATGGTTCTTAGAATGACGTTAGTTTACCGTTATGAATAAAATTGTATATACATAATTATGCTACTATAAGACAAAAGTGTTCAATGAAAATATTGATTTTCGAAATTTCTTTCCGAACAATAATTCATTTGCTATATGCAAGAAAAAGAATCAAACACCGGTTCTCGTTACAGACCGGAAATATCAAGCTCTCAGATATTATTTAGCGGAAACTGGGCAGAGCCTCGTTACCACCGTAAACAATTACGAGCTTGATATTCCGGTCTGTACTGACAGCCGGTGTAACATCCTTATATTATCAACTCACCATTTTTAATTTTATACTTATTATTTATCAATAATTGTAATATCCATTACAATGTAAGTTCCAATTCAATGTAACAAACGAATTCATTCGTTCAATGTTCAATTACAATGTTACGTTGAACTTTGAATCAGTTTTCTATTGAATTGGAATTAAAACTTACAATATGTAATATCAACAAAATTCTTGTATCTTATTCAATTTGATACACTATAATACTAGCCAAATTAAAAAAAAACAACATTTGAAATGTATACATAACAAAAGAGATAACATTCTTGCTAAAATTTTATCATACATTGATAAAATCATTATCGGCTGGTTGGTGGATAACTTTTAATGTTGTCTGTTGATAACGTGACAACAAAAGATAACCAGGTTCTCACATAATTGACAAGTGATAGTGACTGCCTTTAAGCAAAAAGCTCCCTATTTCTGATTTTTTCAATGCATACTATACATTCAAATAGCAATTACAAACAGGAAACAAATAGTATTTATGTCTGTAATCTAATACTTGTTTATCATGTGAAGTATAAAAATCTGGAAACAAAGTGATCATAACAAAACACAAAAGAAAAAAAACATTCCCAAAAATATATACTCAGCTGTTCTCAGCGCAATTTTTTTGTCTTATCACACACTTTATCGGTAATGTACAAATGTCATATGACGGTGTTGTTTCTCAAGATTTATTAAAAAATGATACTGTTTAAAAAATGTATATATACGACCCAGCATGCTTACAGATATATGCAATACATCAAATAAGTCTATTAGTTCAGAGAATAAATACTAATTATAAATCACACTATAGTCAGAGTTTCCTAAATAGGCTCATCATGCGCAGAACACACAAATACAATATATTTTATCTTTTGATGAAGCGTAAACTAAGATAATAATTATAACACAAAACACGATGGTAGGTATAGAAATAATTATATGCAGACATAAACGTTTAAGAAAAAAGTTGAGATTTACCTTAAACTATCACTATCGTTATGAAAGTACCATTTAAAGAACAACTTATCAGTTTGAATAAATAATAGTCGATAAAATAGAAATATAACAAAACAATCTGCGATATACGAGAAGTTTGTTTGTTTTTGGATATTTTTCACATCTAATGTCAAAATTTCGTAAATTTGATAGGCGTGATTATAAAAAAGCTTCAAAATGTATTAAGTACACATAAACATAGTACAATAAAGTATTCAGTATTTAAAGTTGTTTTTATATGTGATATTAAACTTTATGATTGTACAAACTAGGAAGTAAGACAGGGTTACATTTTTATTACACGAATGTTACTTTGTCCGCCACCACAGATGTAAAACGAAATATAAATGATGAATGTATTGCCGATCATATGTAAGAGTTTTGTAAAATAAACATAAGATCACAGTTTATCACACACCCGTGCCGATTTCGCGACTCCGTAAAACCGTGCATATATTTTGACGTGACGTCATTAGCGTTATACAAACATAGTGTAAATGTTAGCGTTATACTATAGGCGCGTCAATGAAAAATGACTCTTATAATGAATACATAATATAATTTTATTCAACTCGTGCAATAAATTCAGTATTGAACTTACACTCATTCAATATCCTCTATTTATTTTCACTGACCGTTTGTATAATATGACACGTGTGGCACATCATAGTGAAAACATGAATGAAATATTCACTACCACTGATATACGTTATTCCCTATTACACTTGTCATGGTTTAGAACTTTTCACTATGTAGGGGAATACATGTGTAACCGACCGGATAGCTCAGTCGGTAGAGCCGCGGTACGGTATGCCGAGGGTCCCGGGTTCGAGTCCTGGTCAGGCTGCAAATTTTTCTTACCCTGTGACATTTTGCAACAGACTGGGGACCGTGACTGAATATTGCTGGAAGTTTAATTTACATTGCTCTGTAACTCTGTGAAATTCGTGGACGAATTTCAGTATAGCAGGGGAGTATGTCATGGTTCAGAACTGTTCACGTATAAGGGGAGAAGATGTGTAAGCGGCCTAATAGCTCTGTCGGTAGTGTCACAAAATGACATTCCGAGAGTCCCGTGTTTGAATCCTAGACAAGCTGCACATTTTTCTCAGCCTGTGACATACTTAAACATTTCATTTGATAACATGACACACGTCCCTTATAAAAATTTAAATCAATAAAGTGTAAAAGTTTTATATAACTTCACATTTCTAACGTTATATATCTAAAAGGATATCTTATTAAATATCTAGCCAATTCCTAATATGAAACATAATCATTCAATGGAGTTTGCATTTGTTTCATTTGTAATAAGGAAGATCATTTTACTTTTTAAAAAGTTTTATATTAAAACAAAATTATCGGCGACAATTTGCATAGTTTCAAATCGACGAAAAGGATATATAAAAAGGATATATGAAACAAAGAGATATTTTTGAAATAATAATGATAATAATGATAATAATAATCATACAAAATATACTTTGATAATTTTCTATAATAAAGAACAATTAATGCAATGCAATCGTCAATTTGGTTATCAAATTAAAATTTCATCAATTGATCATTGTGTGTCAAATACTTTCAACTTGTTATCATTATAGTAACTAACATAAACCTCATTATAGCGTGAACTGTAGCATATTGAATGCAGACGGGTTTTATCTTGACGCATCATCTTCCCTTGCTTCAAGTCTCCGTTGACTTTATGAATTGTTCCATTACCAGTACAGCACACAAGTAATGCCCCGTCATCTAACATCAACATTCCACGTGGTCCACTAAGATCTGTATGCTTATATGTAGCTGTAACTTTCCCTTGTAATGATACACTCACTATACTGTCGTTACCACAGTCACTGATATACAGAAGTTTGGAATCCTTTCCCACAGTAATATACGGGAAATAGTCATTTGAAAGAAATTTCAGAGGGATGTTATTCAGGATATCACCTTGTGTATTCAGTACAATCACACTAAGAGGATACAAACAAGCAACATAGAGACAATCTTGATTAAAGTCTATACAATAGCATAACCTATCTACTTTAATACTGCGGACACATGATAGCTTGTCGTCTGTTCTCATGACAACTATTTCTTCGATATGCGGCATTGTTACTGCAAACTGATCTTGAGACATTACAGCAATGTCAAATGGCTCCGAGTCTAGAGCTTTCTCTTCTTGTACACGTTTATTCTCTATAGATATCAATTTTACTTTTTTGTTTTCTCTATCGGCTAGAACTAGTTTATTTGTGTTGAGAACTGCACATCCTGTAATAGAACATTCCCTCTTATCTGTTGAAGTTTTAACATTGATACCTTCTTTCCCAATCAGACGATCAACAGATTTCATCTCATTTGCCGATTCATAACAAGAATGACTGACAATCTCACCAAATACCCTTGTTTTCGATAACAATGATTCAAGGTCAGAATTTCGCTCAAATGAGTAGTGCATATTCGTATTTATGAAAGATTTTTCTGCATCATTTAATTTATTTGATTTCAGTGAAGACTCAGCCCGTTTTATGTCAATGAAGAGTTGACTATGCTGTTGATTTGATTTGCTTACATTTAGCTTTGATTGCAGACTTTTTATATCAGAAATCATACTTGCACATTCTTCAAGGACCTTCTGAACGATTTTAATATTCTTTGTCTTTATGCCTTCAGCAGTTGTTGAAACATATTGTTGCATCTGATCAAGGCGGTCATTTATTTCTTTTCGGAATTCTGTTATTGCTTTGATTATTTCCTTATTGCATTCATTTATATCATTACTTCTTTCCTTAGCCATTTGAGAGATTTTTTCTGCTTCTTTAAGTTTTCCGCTGAGTTTTTGCATGACGTCATCGAATTCCGTGCCATCTGCAATGCTTCTACATTTATCAGGTATGTACTCAATTTTGCACGTTCTGTGGCCTAAAGTCATGCAATCATTGCATCCGAGCTCATTGTGGGATGGGCAATGAAATTTTATAACTTCTTTTTTATGAGCTGAACATAATTCGGTACATTCGTTGTATGATTGCTGCTTTGTATGCAACTTGTCTAATTCATCTTTATAAAGAATATTGTGATTCCGGGAAAGTTTTGCCTTTTTGTGACAATCAAGACAGGTACTACATAGGTATTCCTGACATGTGACACAAAACCCGAGAGCTTCTATACGTTGATCTGTGGTAAGACACGGCTCACAACAGTGATCAAAGTCTTCTGCTGATCCTGCTGCTAGTGATCCTAGCAAGTCTACTTGTTTACGTCCTGATACGGCCATTTCTATAAAACAACACAAACATGTATTAAACATTGGGTTTAAATTATGTCTGTTCCTAGTTAAAAGTAATTAGAAGAATTTATTCGTAATGTAAGAAATAGTTTTCATATCTTACTTTTATAGTGAAGCAATACAAAAATAATTAGTATATTAAGCCCATTTTCCACATTAAATGTGCTATGATATTGTTCAGGTTTATTGAACAAAACGTTATTTCAAACACTAAATTAGATATATACACGGTGAGTGGAATAGCCGTTTTGCTGACACATTGAGAATTAGTTATAAATCTTTATTTAATTTTACCCATGAAATATGGTGCTATATCAGTCAAATATATTTCATATTTTTCAAAAATAAATATGAAATATAAATATGAAAGTGGGCGGAGTCAAAACTCATATTTATTTTAAGGGACTTCTTTCGCCGTTTTGTTTGAAAAATCTGATAAATACAAAACAACTTTTTCTTGAATATTGTTTTGAAAACTATCTAGCATGATAGAAAATGGTCTAACTAAGAAAATTAATCCGAACACCAATATCTTTAATTCAGTAATTAACGCTGTACAGACGTTTAAAGAGTTGTTTACATGACGTCACAATGTAGCGCCAAACAGCGTGTGCTTACGCATAAATTACTGCACGCTGTACAATTGCAGTTGGTAGCAAGCACGGGGATCCGTTACCATTTTCTTTGATAATGAAATTAAATAAAAAGGTTATTTTTTTTCGTTTTTTTGTGAAATATGGTATATATTTTCACTCAACATGATAAAATGCAACATATTTTCACTCGCCGTACCGGCTCGTGAAAATATGTGGCATTTTATCATGTTTCGTGAAAATATATTCCATATTTCACGCAAACGAAAAAATATCCTCTTAATATTTGTTTGCACCATTGATTTTTTATATTTAAAATCGCTAAAACGATACTGATCTATAGGAAATTTATCTCATTGATATATTAATAACAGTATTGTTTCTACATTGCTTTATGTTAAATATTTCAAAACATTTAAACATTCAAATAAGTAACTCATAATGTTTTTTATTGAAAAGCCACAAGACATTAACACTCAGTACTCATGGTGAATTTGGAATAATACGAAACAATATTCTTAATGATATCATATAATTCTTTATATTAAAGGCCCATCATGCCTCAGACATGCAATTTTTTGTCGAAAAATTTATTTTTGGTATCTTCTTAAAGTTACAAGGAAATACTTATATGCCGTATCAATGAATTATTTTTGCTATTTTTGTACACTCGCGACATTGCATTTACTCTCGCGGCACTGCATGTACTTTCGCGGCACGACATGTACGATCGCCACACAGCATATACACTCGAAGCATTGTATAAACTCTCGCAGCACTACATGTACACTCGCGGCACTTCGTCTTGTGTCGCAGAACTGTGTTTTCTGTATCGGCACTGCATGTATACTCGCAGTACTGCATGTACGCTCGCGGCACTGCATGTTCACTGTAAGAGTTGTAAACCCGTGGTAATGCGTGTACACTCGCGGTAGTGCCTATAACCTCGCGAAACTGCCTATAAACTTGCGGCACTGCTTGTACTCTCGTGGCAAAGCCTGTAAACTCGCAAAACTGCATAATACACTCGCGGCATAGCATGTACACTCGCGACATTGATATTAACTCTCGCTACACTGTATGTACACTTGCGTCACTGCAATAACTATCGCGGCAGTACATGTTCACGGTACTTCATGTACAATTGCGAGAATACATTAATTATCGCAGCACGGCATGTACACACGCGACACTGCATTAACTATCGCGGCACTGCATATACACTGGCGACATTGCATTTACTCTTGCGGCACTGCATGCACACGGTACTTCATGTACACTTGCGACACTGCATTAACTATCGCGACACTGCATGTACACTGGCGACAATGTATTTACCCTCGCGACACTGCATGTGCACTCGCGACACTGCATTATCTCTCCCGGCACTGCATGTACACTTGTGACACTGCATTAACTCTCGTGGCACCGCATATACACTCGCAACATTGCATTAACTCTCGCGGCACTGTATGTCCACATGTGGCACTGCATTAACTCTCGCGGGACTGCATTAACTATCGCGGCACTGCATGTACACTCGCGACACTGCATTAACTCTCACGGCACTGCATGTACACTCGCGACAATGCAATAACTCTGGAGGCACTGCATGTACACTCGCGGCACTGCATTAACTCTCGCGGCACTGCATGTACACTGTACGTCATGTACACTTATGACATTGCATGTAAAATTTGTAGTAAATTTTAAAAGATTTACAAGCATGTCGTTAAACGTTGTATGATATTGATCACCAAGAAGATCATCCTTAGTTTGTTGAATATGTAATAAGAAAGAAACAGATGAGACCATAAATTGCATGTTTTTCATACGATTAACATTTTAGATTTTTAAGATAAAATGAGTATACATATTGTAATTTTATGAAGGTGGTTTGAGGTCAACAACTTTACTAAGTCCGAGTCCAAGTCTTGGCTTTATTTTTTAAAGAAACCGAACATATCTTACAATGTTTACTTTATACTTAAAATTAATAAATATGGTAATTTTTTGTAGAAAAAAAATCAGAGAAATGAATTTCACACATATCCATGAAGTATAAATAAAATTCAGATATTTATATCGAAGAAAAACCGGTTAAATCAAATATTTCTTATCTTCCTTAAAGGGAACCCACCGAGGTTTAAAAGCCTAAACACATACAATTGAATTTCTTACATAAATGAGCTGGGCACTTTAAACAGAAATATATGCAAAGATAGTTAAGAAATATACTTAAAAAAATTGAAAATCGTATTTTTATGCTTTTCTTAGCCTGATTTCTGTGAAAAGTGTTTAAACGTTTTTCATTTTGGGTCATTGTTTTACTATTTGAATAATTACTCTCAAAAACGAAGTGCGCGAATGATCCAAAGTTTTGCACAAAAAATGTAATCTTAACCTACATCAACTGGTACATTTATCTGCAAAAATGTTTTCAGTCCCACCATGTCAAAAAACCTCAGTGGAGTCCTTTTAATAGTAGTTACAAGACAGTGCCAAAAACAGTCGGACACCTTATCTTTTAGAGAAAAAAAATCTAATTTACTTCCTTTCGAGGAAAACGACTATAAATAGCAGATTCTAGTTTGCTTTTTTCAAGCGATGAACTGAATTTAGGACAAGCTATAGACTAGTTATGCAGCTCCTTGTCATGAAGCCACCTATTATGTATTATTAATTAATGTACAGTAGAGTAATATTGCAGGGTAAAAATGTTGTATAATCTAAAGGTACCAAGTATTGTGACTAACACAAGTAACTTTCCATGACGTTATTAAGCGTGATCAATACAAAACTAACTTATACTTTCCTTACAATTCCATTAATTAAACACGTAAATGTCTGTGTGTTGACGTTACGTTATTGAGACGGAGTCCAAAATCGAGAATGATGTACACGCGTGTAAAACATATATACACCAGAATCAAGAAAAATTAAAATCAATACAGGAATCGGTGATTAACCTTTCATCTGAATTTCAAAATGCTAAAACGCGCATAGTTTATAACATTTCAAACGAGTCTGATCTACCCGGCAAAGTGACAGATATAGGCTCAATGCCACCACCAAACAAACATGAATCTATATACCAACCTCGGGCTTCGGAAGAGCGGGCTTTGCATGCCCCACTCATGTCATATGTTCCATATGTTGCAACCCCTGCTGACATAAACCCGATCCCTACTATTATAACTGAAGTAAGCCAAAACACAAAGAACATGTTGCACCACGTTTCAGAAAAAACAATATAAATGTGAAAAGAAATGATAACAAACTCAGCTGTAATACGCATCAACTCGGTCGTGTAATAGACCGACAGCAGGAATTATCTACTGCGCGAGATACTGAAGGATCTATTAACAATATTAATGTACTACATAACCCTAAATGTGATCTCACTTGGAACGCGGTCAGTGAACAAACTGAGAATGTTGATGATTTTTCTCAATATGTGCGCATGCGCACCAAACGATTTTACGTTGGCGGTTTTAAGCCACAAATCACGGAAGCGAAGGTAGCAGCTTATATCAGATCAAAGGGACCCAAAGTAACAAAAGTATCCATTTTCCGAAATAAACAGAAACGGACTACGGTTGTTCGCGTAAATGTTGAAAATGACGAGAACGCGTCAATGTTATCTGATGACCCTTACTTCTGGCCTCGTGGTATTATTTGTCGACCATGGGTGTCTGGGAATAATTATCGTAAAAGAGAAAGTGTAGAAAGTACAAACACAAGCATGCAATTCATGGACAGCAAATATAATGATTACAAAAGCCATAACAGGCATAGGTACGACACAAACTATAATAGGTTTGATGTGTTAGATATCGATGTAGAATAAAATTGCAGTAACCATGGACACCGGAACTCGAATATTAAATTTTGCAACTTGGAATGCGAACGGCGTTATGTCTAGTGCTAGCTATTTAAGTGACCTTTTAATATCTCAGAATATTCATATATGCGGACTATCAGAACACTGGCTGTACCGTGCTGACCTGTCCTTCCTTGACACCATAAATACTAACTACATTAGCTATGCAATTTCCGATCCTTCACTGGACACCCTATCACGTAGAAAGGTAGGAAAAGGAGGCTTAGCGTTTATGTGGAGAAAAGAAATAAATCACATGATCGCACCTTTAGACTTGAATTCGGAGCAGTGTATAGGAATACAAATTATGACCTCTCCAGAAACTTATGTTTATCTCATTCAGGTGTATTTACCTTGAAAAAATCATTCTATGATGTCATATTCAACATATGTCGAAGAATTAGAGAACGTCATTTGTAAATTTATCAGTAAAGGTACTGTGATCATTTTGGGTGACTTTAATACGGAACTTCCGTCTGTAAGAAGTTCTGACACAGTTATAGACTCTAGAGGTGTTAAACTATTAGATATTACAAGTAATTATAATTTAACTTCTTTAACTACATCATCTATGTGTCAAGGGTGTATATATAGCAATGTTCC